TCAGGTCCGTCGGCTCCGGAAGTGAGACATTCCCCTCGTGCGCATTCAGTGGGATCGCCACGGAGCTACCTGGGAGGAAGAGTCGGACATTCGCGCCCGTTTTCCATATTTTCAGTTCTGATGTACATATTTTGTTATCTTATGTACATAGTTCATGTATAGTAGTTACGTTTTGAATTTCCGAGGACGGAAATTTTGTAAGGAGGGAGGATTGTAATATCCCGAGATATTATCAATATAAATTACGTTTAATTCCGATATAGTAACGTTATCGTTTATTATTTTCGGAATTAAATTAAGTTCAGTCGGGATTACCGAAATTTATTTTCGGCGTACCGTTTACGTCCGAAATAATTTTGGTAATTAAGTAGTATGTTTAATTTAACAATTAAACATCAAATGAGTGATTAATTGGAATTAATCACATATAAGCCCTAATTTTTCCCTAATTAGCCGTGGGAGAAGATGAATTTTCCCAAACAATTTTTCTAAGTACCGTAAGCTTTCTTAAGCTTAAGGTAAGGTTAAATTAGCCAATCAAATGTAGCAATTTGTCAAGTCTTGAGGGTGCTTAGTCATTATAAGATGCATAAGATTTTGGCAAGTGTTAGTAGCATATGGAGCCACATCATGGCCTCATCATTCATCCCCTCGGCCGTGCATCTTTAAAAGGAGGATATTTTGGAAAATTTTCCATCATTTTCCCTATAAGAGATCGAGCAGCTTACCTAATAGCCTCAGCAACCCTTTCATCCCATCATCTTCCCTAAATTTCTTTCGCAAACGCACGGCCAATAGAGAAGCAACCGCACGGCGAGCGCAAGGCAAGCAGCACGCTTTGTTTCGATTTTTCCGTCGAGCGATTGTCAAGGTATTTTCCTCCCCATATTAGAATCATGCTAATAAGTCGAGTTCAGAGTTAATTGTGCGGAGGATTTTCAGAAATTTATAAGAAATTCTTGTTCAAACCGTACTCAAGTCCATGTATGTTATCACCGAACAATTTTCGTTTTCTTCCGACAACCCTCGAACGATAATTTTTTTAAATGATCAGTTTAGTTCATTGTAAGATCAGTATGGTCGAATTATTGAGTTAAAATGAAGTATGGTCGATGACAAGGCCCCAGCCAACGCCCTCGCGCCTACCGCGCGTAGTCTTGGGTAGTCTCGGGCCGAGACCTGTTATTTCAGTAATATTAGTGTTCAGCCGTGTGATTAGTCCTTATATTGCTTCAGTTTAGTAATCATACTGAGGTGTTCGGTAGTTGTCGGATATTATGTAAGATCGGCCGAGGGACGGCACGTAGCCGTCGGCGGCGCTCGGGCGTTCGCCGCGGCCCTCGCATGTTCAGTATGTGTTCGGTGAACTTTCAGGTCATGTTCGATCAAATTATTTATGTTAAGTTCGGTACAGTTTAATTAGTTGAGTTGCTTACCTTTTGGTAGAGATGCGGCCGAAGGCCGTAGCCTCGCATGTAGCGAGTGCCACGGCCGAGAGTTTGGTCCGATCAACCATTTCAGTGAGTTCATGTTAAATTCAGCTTAATATTCATTTTAGGTCATAACATGTTAGTTGAAGTCAGATTGGTCGGATAAAAGTGCCGGACGGTCGGCACGGAGCCGACTGTGGCCGCGCTGCCGCACGCATCGGCAGCAACGCCTCGGCCAGTGACCCCGTGCCAGA